AGAGCCAACACAAGGTCTATACAACACTCATTTCCAATTTACTTTCACTATCAGCTGGGCCGTAACTTGCTCCTAGTCCTGACTCTATACGTATGAATAGGGATGGATTTTGCTCCTTTTTTAGGGGTTCAGCAGGCAAAACAAGGAGAAGCATACAGCACTCTAGGAATTTTAAAGTCACAGAAGAGCTGCATCACATACAGTACCCGTGGTTTAATACTGACAGCATGTTTGGAAGGCAGAGGAAATGGGAAGGATGACAGGAAGATTTCTGAGACAATTTCTTTCTGACAAATGTCTTTGAGACTCCCTAAATCTGATGGTCCGATAGCTTTAGTCTTATGGTTAGAAGCAGCACACCATCAAACGGCACTGAAATGCAGGGCCATATTTAGAGTCATTTAAAGAAAGAACATCCTCACAGAAGTTTTAAAAGATGAGCACATATTTTTACTTAGCTCATATTCATTTATTACACCCAAGCAATTGAAAAAGATTGAGGGCCCATTTTTCTAGGCACTAAAACACTATAGTAAATGGTCTCTGTCCCAAAGAGTTTTCAATCTAAGAGCCTGATTCAACTGCTAGTTCACATACTCACAGTTCACACATGTGAATAGCTCACTGGAATCAGCAGAACTACTTGTATGCATATCTGTTTGCTGCATCAAAAACTAAAAACATGTCTTTATCATGAGCCTGGAGACCATGTCTTTCAAGCAGCCACGGTCACCACCTCCCCCACACACTCTCAAGATGTCTGCCTCAGGCATGCTTGAAAGCCACAGCACAGGATGCTCCTAGAATCCACATGCTCCAGGGTGGAGGGGGAGGCGTTTTAATTAGGATAGCTCTGAGGAACTGCTCTAATTAAAATGTCCTCAGCCAACACACGTCTGGGAGTGGGATGGGTAGGCGGGGTGGGGCCAGGGCCTGGATCACAGGCCAGTGACAGTGTGGGGCTGGGGCCTGAGACAGAGCTGCGATCTGCTCCCTGCACATCCCTGCCAGCAGAAATGGTGCCTGTTGCAGGGACCTGTGAGGAGGGGATCGGGCTGTGCCCTAGGTCCTGACCCCATGCTGTCACTGCCCCACAATCCCATCTTTGTGGTGTCAGCACCCTGCAATACCAGACCTACACTGTCACCACCCCATGATCCCAGCCCTATGCTGTCACCACCCCAAGATCCTGGCCCTAGTCCTGCAATCCAGGCCCTGATCCCAGCTCCAGTGTCCTGTTCTGCTCCCAGATGTTGCTCTCTGCCCACCCACAGCCCCATCCCATCTACCCTGCCGAGTGTGCCCTCTCCATGGGGGTTCTCCATGCCTGCAGGGTGCGAGGAGGACAGGTTAGAGTTCCTGGGCAGTGGGGCTGAGTTTGACTTCAGTGGTGTATAGGCCATGGACCAGATAGGATCAATTTTCTCCCTCAGGAGCCTCTCCACCACACCGGACCAGGTCAGCACCAACCACCTCCCACCCCACCTCACAAGAACTCATCCAAACTCCTTATCTGGCCTTTCAAGCTCAAATAATTGCTTACCCTTGATTGAGGGACAAACATTTTCTAAACTTGGTCTTTTCCCAGAGGTGAAGACTTTTTAAAGCTCCAATAAATTCTGTTCAACTGCTACTGAGTTATTTTTGCATCAAGACAATTGGTTGAGCGATGTGTTCTAATCAAAATCTCTGCTGACTGTAAACCAGCTATTTATGAACAAATGATACTCACACTGAAGCCAAAGGAAATCTAGAATGGACTTCAAAGGCAACACAACCTGGGATCCCCATCACTGTTTTCTGACATGATCAGAATGAATACATTAGTTTTCAGAGAGGGGACATACACACCAACCAAGACTTCTAGAATCTGCTACTCACAAAAGTAGTTCCACTGAAAATCACTGGAACTGCATATATTTGTAAAGACGTAGTATCACCTTCTACCATTTAAACACTCCTACATCTGATACCATTAATACTTCTCCATCAACCTTGACTTTTCCTCCTTTTGTCCTCTCCCATCATCTCTAATGCATGCACTGCACACACTTTTCTAATTTATAAACCATGTCAAAAAGAAAATGCTGAAATTACCAGTTAATTATCTTCTACCATGAATTCTAACTGAATGTGCCCAGATAATATACAGCAGCCCATCTGCTTCATTCCTTCTGTTATAATTTAAACTTTTACTGAAATGTACATTATCATGATAGTAGACAATAAAAGAGAACATTTCTTTTCTAATATTAGCAAAACTGAGATTTCCAAAAAGAAGACATGCCAAGTAGTGATCTCAATACAGAATGGATTCTAGATTCCTCCTCCAAGGAAACCTAATGAAGCTATGCTAACTGGAATCTATTTTTATATGTTTGTATACATGTTTACATACATGTATACAGTGTATACATACAGTGACATTTTTACTGTATACTGTATACACAGTGGCATTTTTTGTTAAATGTTTGTATACAAAGGCATACAAGTGTATGCTGATTGACCTGTGATAGTCAAGGGATCTGCAGGCTTCAAAAGGCAAACTGTTACTTCCCTGGGGAAAAACCTACACCTCAAGAAAAAAAAGGGTGAAAAGTTCTAAAACTCCAAGGGTTTTTTTTTAATAAAGATCTTATGTCTAAAAACCCTTTTATATGTATAAACTACGTGATGATATTGTTAAGGGTTTTTTTGGCACACCATTTCAGCTCATTTTGCTTATAGATGGCAAGGTTACTAGTAACCTTGCCATCTATACTTGCCAACTGGTGTGGGTATATGAGTAGACCACTCTGCGAGGGCCACTAACACCTTCATTCTACACCATACCATTGTGCATTTTTTCTAAGATCTTGTCTATGAAAGCAGGCCTGCAACATCCTGTGAGCTTGCCTGTTCTTTGCTTCCACTGACTAAATCAGAAATTTTGTATGCTTGATGTAGTAGGTTTGGAGTGTTGATATAGCTTGGAATCTGGGTTAAGTACATATAGGCTAGGGACAGACATTCAAAAAGCCTGAGACTGAATTGATTCAATCTTCACAGATTAGTCTAACCTGGCTAGGATTAATCACTTTGTAACTGCTCAGACATCCCAGAAATACCAGCACATGCCTGCAGTGGCTCAAGCTAGAAGCTGGGAGGCACTAGAGCAGCCCTCCCTTCCCTTGCACAGAACTGAGTTGAGGGGGGTGCGGCCAGGCCCTAGCAGGACACTGATTAGCCCAGTAAGGAGTTGATGACAGTGTTTATCAGCCCCTAACTCAGTGTTTATCACCCCATTAAAAAAGCAACAAAGGGACATTACCAGCTACCAGCTGATTCTGCCTGTTGATTCAGCAGGGACCGTAACCAACATGTGATCTGCTAGCTAATACACAGACACCTCTCTGCAAGGCAGAGGGGAGGGGGGAATTCCTGCTTAGCAGGGAGTGGTGAGGCGGGGGGAGCAGCCCACAGTCCTGTGGGAACTGCAGCCAGGGAGCAGAGGGGAGGCGCCAGCCCTGCTATGGAGCAGAGAGCCTTGCCCAGCCCAGAGAGCATGCCAGGATGCTTGGGGAGTCTGATTTAGCTTATACCAGCAAGGGGTCTGGGATAGACATTGCACAAACTGGTTTGACCCAAATCAGTTAAGTCTGAAAGTACATTCAACCAGGTTTATCTCAAACCGCTTTCAGCCATTTTCAAACTGGTTTGTGTGCACTGAATATCTGTTCTGTTATAGGTTTAACCCAGTTTCTGATCACTTAAATTGGTTTATGTGTAATGTCTGTCAGTACCCATGGAGTGAAAGTGGTTTCGCTCAGGATGATTTAATCCTCCCACAAGACCCAGGTCCAGGGAATTTACAAGAATCAAAGACTTTGGGGTGATATCACCAAGTATGTACAATAAGCAGCATTATCTGGTCTCTACTGCCTTAATCAGATGCACCAAACTCAGAAATACAATGAACATAACTGAACTACCTTTAAAGAGCATTCAATAGAATACATCCCGAATTTGAAGGATGGCAGCCAGACTTCATTTTGGGTTTGGAGTACAAGCCATTTCCCCAAAGGGAAGATGAGATGCTCTCATTTCAAGACTTAAAAGTTTGTGAGATATCAGTCCTTACACTTGCTATAGACCAAGAGCTGCTAATACGGACTAAAAATATTTTATTTCCCCTCCAGAAAGCAAGTTCCTAGTATAACATCCATGTACTTCTCATATAGCAAAACCAAAATATCTAGCCCAAATGCATCAGGATACACCGCCCATAAAAAAAATCACTTGGTGTGGGCACATGACCACATGAACAACCAATAGATATACTATAAAAATATTATACATGCAGTAGTAAAAAGCAGTAGTAAAAAGACATAAGATTTTTTCCCCCTCCTCCCCCAGCCTCAGCATGTAAAATACATTTCTACATCCTGCTTAGAAATTAATAGCTCATTCAAAATTCTCTCACATTCACATTTTGCCTTTTGGTAAAATAACAATCATTGGAGAGCTCTCAAGCATAACAATACTTTTCTGAAAGGCAATATGAATTTCACATTATATTTCTGAAAGGCAAAATAAATTAAAAGTTTAAAAACAGACAAGAAAGAGAAATCAGTGAACAATTGATTTGGGAATATATACATACATCACAATCAGCTTTGACTGTATAGACAGGTGTGGGTGAACAGAACAGCTTTAACATTCTACAAATGGGAACCAGATTCCCTTCTCCTGGGTTCAATCTACATTACTAGAGCAAATGGTAATGGGAGTACTTCATGATTCCCCTTTAGTGTGGTTGTTCACATACTAACTCTCTCACACACACAAACATACTTTTTTCATTAGACTGAATAAATAGAGTGGAAAAATTAGTGCCTACAATGCCCCAATGTAAAAATATATATAATAAAAGTGAAATACTCCATGCTACCATAAATCATGAACACTACAAAGTTGTTACAAGGATATTCAATCTTGAATGCAACATATGAGATACTTACGTGATGGTGTCAATCATATCCAGTCCCATTTCAACACAGCAGTGAGCATGGTCGGTTTTGGGCTGGGTCAGTCCGGATACACAGTAGTAACAGTCCCCCAGGATTTTTATTCTTCTGCAATGGTTTTCCTTTGATAAAATAGATAAGAAGAGAGATATTTTAAGATTTACAACACAAATTATATATTTCTGCATGGAAAATTGTGTTTCACTGCACTAAATTATCTAAAATTCATGAATCATGGAAACCCAATCCTGAACTTCCATCTTCTGTACATAGAAGAAGGGATCACTTCAGCATTTCTTGGTTGGGCATCAACCAAACCAATTTATAATTCCAGATTGCAGGTTAATATTCCATGATAATACAATTAACATGAGAGATCCCCAGAACAAAATTCCAGACCTAACCAGCCCCAATCATCAATTAAAATGGACCTATACTTTTCAGACTGACAGCATTCTTGTACCAGTACAAATCCAAAGACTGGAACAAAGCAAACTTTAAATGTTATGGAAAGCTTGGATTAAGAAGTATTTGGCCTTCAAATAGATTTCTAGTTTAAAAATTTATATATGTATATGATAGATGCACAGTCCACATTACCATGCTCATTCCTAGTTTAAATGCGAGTACATAACAGATTGTCAAACTAGAAGATGAAGTCATTTTTAGCTGCATTGCTATGGAATTTGTCTCATATTTACTCAGACTGGCAAATTTCTTCAGCAGCAGTAATATGGCCAGATCTATCTTCTAAGGAAATAAATGGAGCTAGTGACAGCTTCATTAATTGCAGCAGCACCTCTACCACTTCCCAGCTGGGGCATTGCTCAGCTATGATGAATCATCCCAGGAACCAAGATACTCCTATGATCCCTTTCATTGGCCATGGTAGATGTTATATAGTGATCCAATACCCGTCATTCAGCTAGACCTATACACACAGGCCCATACTGAAATTATTACCCATAATTATAATTATCCCATTCAAATGGCAAACAAATTTGAAAAACGTATTAAGGAGGCCATCATTTGCAAGCCAGAAATGAATGGAGAGCTAAGAACCAATTAGCACGGCTTTGTTAAGGGTAGATCATGCTTGAAAAACCTTTTGCCCTTCTATGACCAGGTAACTAGCCATCTGGATGAGGGACACCTGGTGGACATGATCTATTTAGGCTTCAGTAAAGCCTTTGATTCGGTTTCTCACAGGATTCTCTCAAACAAACTTGAAGGTGCTGGACTTGACCAGTCCTCAGTGAGGTGGGTGGACAATTGGCTTAGAGTGTGTGATAATTGATGGGCTGGCCTCCTCCTAGAAGGCTGTCTCCAGTGGTGTCCCCCGGGGATGTGTGCTTGGACCCGTGCTCTTTAATACATCCATCAGTGATCTCGATGAGGGAGTGGAAAGCTCAATTATTAAGTCTGAGGACGACCCCAAGCTGTGGGGCAATGCAGGCACACTGGAGGAAAGGGCCAGGATCCAGGAAGACCTCAACAAGCTGGACTCTTGAGCGAAGCAGAATCAGATGAGATTTAACATGGATAAGTGCAAAATCCTTCACCTGGGCAGGAAGAACCTTCACCACAACTACACGATGGGTGGTGGCTCACAGGCTGGCACAGCATCTGAGTGAGACCTGGCGGTTACAATCAACCAGAAGATAAATATGAGCCAGCAGTGTGATGAGGTCTCTAGGAAAGCAAACAGAGCTCTGGCATGCATTAGCCTATGTGTGTCCAGTAGATCCAGGGAGGTGATTCTTCTTTTCTATTTGGCATTGGTGAGGCCTCAGCTGGAATACTGTGCCCAGTTCTGGGCATCGCACTTCTAGAGGGACATGAATAAGCTTGAGAGAGTACAAAGAAGGGCTGCCCACATGGTCAAAGGCATGGAGAATAAGCCCTACCAGGACAGACTCAGGGAATTGGACCTGTTCCGGCTGAGTAGGAGAAGGCTGAGAGGTGACCTGATGGCTGCCTACAAGTACATCAGGGGAGAACACAAAGATCTGGGGGAGCAACTTTTCAGGAGGGCACCTCAAGGGAGGACAAGGAAAAATAGATATAAGCTTACAGAGGGCAAATTCAGGCTAGACATAAGGAAGAACTTTTTCTCCGTAAAGTTCTCTAGAATCTGGAACATACTCCCACCAGAGGTTGTGCAGTCAGCATCATTGGAGGTATTCAAGAAGAGGCTGGACAGGCACCTTGCTAAGCTTGTCTAAACCCAACAACTTCTTTCCAACAGCAAGAGATCAGACTTGTTGATCTTATGGGTCCCTTCCAGTTCTACAATTCTATGATTAAATGAGCAGTCTGTAGCCAGTAGCAGCCTGTTTGACCTAACCTGCAGCCATCCTAAAGACAGACTTTTTAGAAATATGGAATATAGACACTACAACAGTTAAATGACCAACATTCTCCCCACATTATGAAATGGTTTGTTTAAAATACTTTTCCTTTAAAAAAGCCAAAGGCAGGGGGGAGGAGGGGGGAACGTATGTCATAGGTGTACTGCATAGATCCAATTTTGATAAGGGAAGGCACTAAATTGTTACCTCCATCATGGTGGCAGAATCCAGCCAACCTGGATATTTTCAAATACAACCAACAAAGTGTAAAAATAGAGAGTTTGGTCTATGACCACTTTTAGTACATCAGCTATAACTCAGGAAGGAAAAATAAAATACTAGTTTTTTTGGTTTGATTTATTGGTTTTTGGTGTTTGAAATTTAGCCATGTCTCTTCTATTCAATTTGGTGGAAGACATCTAGCTAAATCACCAGCATTATTTGAAAATCTCCACTGTTTTTCACCTGCCATTTCCCTCATTTTATTTATAACCAGGGATCCTCGTTTTCTCTGATAAAAAATAACAAATTCCCTGGCAAAGAATATCACAAATTCTCTGACAAAAAAAAAATCACAAATTCTCTGACAACGCCCCCCCCAATCCATTATTAAAATTAAAAGCCCCCTGCAGCCATCCCTACCCCTGCTGGTGCCCCTCACCCTCCTCCAATGCCTCCCACAGCCCTGATGGTGCCCCTCACTGCCCCCAAAGCTGCCCCCCCAGCCATGCTGGTGCCCTAT